TTTTAAGCGGACGAAGGGACATCAATTTGAAATAATTTTATTATGCAAAATCTCCATTTATTTATATACAGGGGAAAGTAAAAATTATCCACACTTTACTTTTTTCAATTTATTTACACAAAAGTAGGGTTTGAATAACTGTCATTTTTCTATATCTCTCCTCCCTTTTTGATGCACTTGGTCCAGCAGTCCACAAACTTGCATATTCCCTCCAGGAAGAAGGGTTTTGGTTTATGCACTGCTTACCACACTTCTTTGTCTTTAGAAAACAACAACCTTGTAAAGCATTTTTGAGCGATCCAAAGAGATGACAGAAGGAAAAGATGAGATCTGGGCTGTAGGCACAGTATTCCAGCACCTTGAAACCCAAATGGGTAATGGTTTCAATGGTCTGGCTGACCATGTATGAGTATGCATTTTCATGCAACAACAACACTTTCTTTGACAATAGGCCTCAGCATTTGATGTGAATTGCTGACTTCAGATTGTTGGCCAGCAAATTTCCAGAGAAATTGGATCACTTTGTTCCTCCTTAGTGTGCACTGCTAGTGGAGCAGTCATGTTTACACTGAAACAGAAACAAGAAAAATGACACTATCAACATGTGGCCGTTGGCCATGATATTGGATAGTTGTATGTTTTATTTGGATTAATCTTAGCCTTCTTTTCTGTTTCTTTATTCTAAATTCCTTCTAGAACATTCTTGTCTAACCCTTTTTGCCCTTGGGTAGGATTACCATTTCCACGAAAATAAAGTAGAACAAAAGAGGGAGTGAGGCCCTGGGGCCAAACGGTCAGAGAAGGGGGTAAGTCTGGGTGAGAATCCCAAAGAGGTAGACAGAGAAAAGGTGTGTTCCAGATCTTGAGAAGGACAATGAAGGACTGTGAGGTGCCAAGAGATCAAAGAGAAAAGACTACGGACAGAAAACCTTGAGAAAAAACAATGAAGCCAGAAAGAGACAAAAGGTCTACAACAAGAAAAGGGTCACGAATAAAAGGGAGATTTGAAGTTGTGTCCTACCCAAGAGCATGTCGCTACAAAAACCCCGGGTATTTCCAGTCCTTCCTTTATCCTTTCCTATTCCTTCTAGTTTATCCATCTTCCTTAATTGTAAGATAGTTATAACTTAATCTGGCCCACGTTTGATTGTCTTGCATGTGAAAGTTAACTATTTGGAGGACACGTATTTAACGTCTATGTACATAAAATTTATAAAGTTGTAAAGTTGGGATCTGATGTAAAGAACGTGTTCAGAGAGAATTAAAGTACTTTGTGCTGTGTATAATAATAATTTTTTTTTTTGGTACCTTTTTGCTCACAGAATTAAGTACCTCTCGTTACAAACATTACAAAGGTCAAACTTCCATAATGTGACCACAGTAGTATCAACTGTAAGCATGTATGTGCAGAAGGCAGTGTGACAAACCTAACAATCTGTTATGGCAAAAGTGTGGATAATTTTTTTTAACTTTCCTATGTATATAAAATAATACAATTCTATTAAATTACTGTTAGAAATAAAATGTTTAAAATGAATAAGGATTGAACAAATTATTCTAAAATAATCTGTAAATAATCTATACATTGTAAAGCTGTTATTATTAGCTATTTTTCCTTAAGTAAAACTCAATATTTTATAAATCAAACTAAATATGATGAAAATATTTGTTATTTGAACAAATTTTTAAATTCTGCACTGGTAAGAGTATTGTAGCACTCCCCCAAGGACATTTCAAGTGACATTTAGAACTTATGCTCTGCAAACAAGTTATATAGACACACACACACACACACAATGTATCTACACTATGTGTTCACTAAACTCTATTCTTGTTTGGTAACATGATAAAATAAACTGCCTAACTCAGCATAAACTACACTGTAACAATACATTTTGAAATGGTTTTGATTTTACATTTTGAAAAATGGCAGTTAAAACATGATATAATTTAAAATAAGCCCCAAATACATTTTTACAATGTAACACACATTAAAGCACAAGATATATAAATAGATGTAGGCCTATACATCACTTGTATATAATTTAGTAAAAATATTTATACATTCATTAAATATACAGTAAAGTCCCAGAAACTTGACTTGATAATTCAACATTCCATAAAATTTGCAGTGTCATGAAAAAAGAAAAAATACACAAAATTAATTTTTACCTCTATAATTGAACACTAGGAGGATAAAATAAGTTATCATTCTTCACTGGAAAAACTCAATAACTGACATATATATATATATAAGGTGACCAAACATCCCGCTTTTGTCGGGACAGTCCCAATTTTTAACAATTTGTCCCACATCCTGCTGCTTTTTAAAAAAGTCCAGAGTTTTGGAAAGATTAAGCTTTTGTCAATTATGTGTCAAACTTATGTCTTATGCTTAAGATTTGTAAAGATCATTTTGTATTACATGTATCAGTAAATGTTTGATTTTCACGCACATGTATCAGTGTGCATGAAAATCAGAAATAAAGAAGGCTTGTCTACAAAACCCTTTGTGTTGTGGCAAAGACCGACAGAAAATGGTTTGGGGCACGCAGCTACAGCAATGGAGCAGCACGCCCCATTTTTATTTCATTAACCATCCATAAAAGTATGTCAGTTAGTAGAACAAGGTGCAATAAATCGCACAAATTTTACGAATCACACCAAAAAGTTATATAGTACCTGCTTAGATTATTTAGAAAAGTGGACGGTACAATACATTACAATGACATTGAACATTTTCATTGGGTTATACTAAAACAAGAACTTAATTGGAAAGATGTGCAAAAATCATTCAATCACATTAGTCAACATTTTCCAGATAGTAATATTTCCAAAAACAATCTTTTTAATGAGGTATAATTATTTTTTAAAAAATATATTGATAAGGAAAAGGTTAAATCTTGGGCATTGGAAAAAATCTCAATAGGGAACAAATGGTTAGAAATATTTCATCATTTTGAAACAAACTATGTTCCATACAATAATGCATTAAAAATCGTGGAATATGCACTGTCCTTACCAGGAACCAATGCCACAACTGAATGTGTTTTTTTTCTACTGTAAATAAAGTGTGGACATTGGTAAATCACAATTAAGTGTCGAGACTTTGAAAGCCATATTATGTGTGAAATATAATTTAACAAATTCTTGCAAAAAATTTCATGACATTTTAAACAACAATACCACTCTACTAAAAAAGTTCACTCAACTGAGAAATATGCAAAAGAATAAAGAGTTTTTAAAGATTTATAATAGTGTTATATATCTATTATATTTGTAAATTTTAGATGTTGAAATTAAAAAAAATATAATACAATACAATTTTTGCATTCTTTGATGACAGAATTTTGTTGCTCTATAACAATTTTTTCAACAAGACAACTACTTCCCCTGTCAATTTTGTCCTGCTTCACCAATGTTAAAATCTGGTCACCTTATATATATATTTGACAGTAAACAAACATTACAATCATTACATCAGAAAGATTTAAGAATATCTTCTGTTTACAAGTTACTGAAATTTTTATTTTGCAGATATATACGTTCATTCATTTATAGTTTCTCGGCCTTATGGCTAAGATCAATGGTTCCCACCTATATGTTGTGGGGAAATGTCGGAGCACACCATTTGGTTGGTGATTAAAGCCTTTGATGGCTTATTTTTGTAACTGTGGGCACCACCCCAGGCCCTTGTTCCTGCTCGTCATCTGCTGCGATGGCCATAGTAGGTAGAGGTGACTGACGGTGGTACTTAGCAGGATCTTCATTGATCCCTCAAACTTTAAGGAACGTAGTTCATATATAGTTAATTGGGGTTTTCTGCCCTTAAGCTTTCTATATCTGGTCTAGATTTTCATCTATCTAACTTTGTTCTAGAGATTAAGTAAGGACCGACAGACAGACAATGCCAATGGGAATTTATAAGTCTGCAATTTTTGAAAATTGCAGCCCAATTACATACTTCTACCTGTAGAGCAACCATTACTCCAAAAGGTACAGCATATGTTATGGCACAGGTTATGCAAAGGTTTCATTTTTATTCTAATAATTTTCTGTAGGGTATATATTTCTGACAGTCAAACTGCAGCTCTTCTAGATCCTCACAGCAGCTTCCATATACTTAGTCATAATCATTAAATATGGTGGAAATACATATTCATTATATAAAATTCAGTTTCAATAGAGAATGTGGTTCTCATATTTCTGAAAGGCAATATATGCCTCTTATGACAAGGTTTGGCCAGTCCAGATATATGCTACCACAGGTTATATGCAGTATGTAATAAAAACATGTGGATTTGAATAAAAGTATTTTGTTAGAATCAATAAACCAAAATAAATATTCAATAGTATTTGTCTTTAATATACACATTTGCTAGAACCAAAAAGTATATCTTTCTATTTAATCTTTGTTACATTTTTATTTTATGTACTGTACAGTACTTACTAAACCTTTTAAATTTGCAGAATATTATAGAAAAACTTACAACAGATCTCTAACATCTTGTTCAGCTTCTTGCACAATTTTAGCAAATGCAGCAGATCTGTGACTAAGTTCTGTAATAAAAATAATTCAAATAAAATTTAAACAATATTTATGTTCATAAAAGACATATTAATTGCATTAAGTTAATAATTACAAAGCAATAATACAGTAATAATTATTAGAAATAATTTACAAATAAAAAAAAATTTAACACAGTTAATATTTAAAAAATAATGTGGAAAATGTATAGAAAATTTCTAACCTGTACTAATTTACAGAATTACATATGTAATATCATTAATATTTAAAATTTTAATAACAAAGATATGGTATTTGTTCAATTTTTAAAGAACTAAAAGTTCAATTTTAGTAATAACAGTTCTGTTTTCGTAAATTCCTATTTTTGTTAAATTCATAAAATTGCAAAATAAAATGTTTTGCATTAAATAAATATCTTACAGATCTTGCATGTGCAATAGATTGGCTTAGGAAAGAAAAGTATCAGCCTGCCATCTGGAAAACTCAGATTTAAGTGTTGGTAAGAAATATCAGTAATTTTTCTGTTGTGGATATATCAGATCCCATCCCTCACTACCTACCTGCTTCTATTATGGGCCTGGCTGAATCCATGACAAGCATGGAAAAAAGAGCTATTTAATGGCTACAGGACAAAGTTAAATAATAAAAGAGATTCTTTTTGTAAGATCAAGCAGTTTTACAGATACTTTATAAAAGAATAAAAATATGTATGAATTGAAATGCTTCTGAAAGTGAGCAATTTTTTGTGGTCATATTTTGTATATATGTTAATTTAAGTTTAGTTTTCTTCTTTATTCTTTGTTCCATTCTTATATTCCTTGTAGAATTTTCTTTCCTAACTCTTTCCCCTTGGGTGGTGATGACCAATTCTTAGAACAAAACAAAAGAAAGAAATGCTGAGAGCTAAGGAGTGGAGTAACAGACACTCTTGGCTTGGACATCGATAGGAAAGGAGGTGAAAGGTTTGTACTCCAGGTCGTGTTTCAGCAGTGACTAGAGATGAAAAGAGGCCCATACAAGGTACTAAGGCAAGTTTGGCAAGGAGAGATCACCCTTTTTTCCAAGAAAAAAAAAACCAGGGTTGGCATCCCCACCTAAGATTAACATGAAGCCCAAATACCCACGTTCTTCTAATCCTATTTCTTATATTTTCTATATCTATCACCTCCCTTCTTTCATAGTATTAAGTTAGTTTTTAAGCCTTAATCATAGTTTGTCTTACTTCTATCAAATATTATTGGTACATACTTTTTATGTTGCGAACCTGATACCAATTGTCATTCCCCACTTTTGTTACTACCAAAAAAACTATTATAATTTTGATTGAGGAGGTTGGAATCCTAAAGAACCTTATTCATCACACACAAAAATAAAGATATTGTTTCTTTTTATGTATATTTGTATGATTCCTTTTTGTCGAGGTACATACTTTCACATGTACATCTCATTTTAAAAATTAAAACATTTTCTGTGAATTTTGCAGGTCTTTGAGTTACTTCATTTTATTAGGATAGAACAAGCTAATCATACTACTAAATTAAATTCATCATAATAAAGTTTTAATAAAACATGATATATTAGATGTTGTAACTATATCCTTCATTTAACTGCTTTCTTAAGAAGTTACATATAATCCTAAATTGCTTTTCCAGAGTTAACATCTTTAGTATTCTAGCACTTTTGGGTTCCTATAATCTATCTTCAGAGTTATTAAAAAAACAATTTTCTTTTTAATATTTTAGATTTGAAAACATTAGGTTTTTGTAAATTACTGTGCATATTTCTAACCTGTTAAAGTTAACATAGTCACTTTAACAAATGAAGCAAGCAATATATCTTTAACGGTGGTAAAGTTGGAGAACAGTAATGATACAACACGTGTTAGACTGTAGAGACAAGGATTTCCCCCATCTGGCAATTTTACTTAATCTTTTGCACTATCTGCTGGTATCATAGTTTACCTCCCTTGCTTGTTTATCCCATCTTTTCTATCCAAGACTAGCATTCCTCTTACACTTGTTCATATCCAAAGTTGGTCCACTAATCAGATCTTTTAGCAAGCTCATTATGGGTTCACAATACCAAGCTCATAATGGGATGAGGGACAGTGCCCAATATATCCAAACAGACCACTTCCCAAAAAGTTCCTAACCTGTCCAATTTGATCCTAGTCCCCAAAGTGGTAGGTTGCTGTCTTAAAAACTTCCAAATAAGAAAAAAAACTTGGAAGACAAGTTAAAAATTAAAAGATTTTTCCAATTTAAAAAAAATTACATATATTTAAATCAATATTATAAAGAATTTAAACAAAAGCAATAAAAGTTGTGTATGTCCTCACCCATAACACTCATTCCTTCTCCATTATAATTAAGCAGTTCCTGTTTCACTCTTTCTAGTACCTACAAATTAAAGTAAAAAGTATTCATTAATAACAATGTTATTGTGAATAAAGCAATTTTATTCTAGAAACATTACAAACAATTTAAAGTTTAAAATTAGTTAATATTCAACATCACATGATTAGCTTAAAAATATTTATGCAATGAAATCTAAATGAGGACTTCTATTAAAAAGGTGTTTAGTCTAATAATTCCATGCACAGAAAGCTAGGAAATCATCAATTTCAGCACCTCCATTGTAGACCTAGCAAATTTATAATGGATGTGGAAAAGATTCTCTTAGTGCTACTTTTTTTATAAAAATTCTTTCTGCCCTGTGGGCACTAAGAGGGCCTCTTTTAGGTAGTTCATATATAGTT